TCATACAGAAAAAGCTTACAAATAGGAATATAAAGTTCTCCTCTGTTAACAGTCTTTAAGTATAGAAACTCCCTTCTTGTTCTCAATCTTTACAAAAATCATTTCCTCTAGGTTTACTTAAAAATGTCAACTGTGGCTGTATGCTGGTAGTTCACACATGAAATCCTAGCTACTCAGGAGGCTGAGATCTGAGAATTGTGGTTTGAAGCCAGTCTGAGCAGAAGAATCCATGAAACTCTGTATCTTCAATTAGTTACCAAGAACGCTGGAAGTGGAGCTGTGGCTCAAGTGGTAGAGTGCTAGTCTTGAGCAAAAGCACTCAGGGACAGTGCCCAGGCCCTGAGTTCAAGCCCCAGGACAAGCACCCCACACACACTTAAAAAAAAAAAAACACACACACAAAAAAAACTGCCATGTTATAATTTCTACTCTTTTGAACAGCAGTGATAGCATACTTAACATATGCATTCAAAAAACTAAAAAACAACCTGATTTAATGATGGAAGAACTCTATACGTGGAGTAGCTTCACACAGCTATGAAAAATGTAAGTTTACCTACTTGTACTTTGTCAAACAATTCCAAAGCTTAGTATCATTTCTTTCACATAATTTTGTAAAAGAAAATTTGCAATAAAGCATTGAGCTACCTATCCAAATGGTACAGGTAAGATTCAAGAGTTGTCATTATGTACATATGTATAAGCATACATCTTTTCTCATTTACAACTTCTGATTAGCAATCCAAACAGGCAATAGTTACACACAAAGATTGCTAATGTGAATAAAGCAATTTTTAAAATCTGTAAATCTACACATTTACCAAAGGTTAAATCAGTTAAGTACCTTATCATTAACGCATGTATCTATTCTAAATGATGACAACTCAAACAACTGCTAAGAAATGTAATGGTTATTTTCATCACCTGTAAGTGATGTCAATACTTACAAGGTAATAGTGAAAAAAATCTTAAGTTTTTAAAAAATAGTAAGTATTCACTACTAAATACCAAACACTAAAGACTTCATTAAGAATCTTACAAAAACATTTGGAGCAACAGTGGAGAAAAGATCCAAGCTAGTTTATACTCTAATGCTAACTAAAAAAAAAAAAAAAATCATTTCTAGTACTGTGTTAACCTATCAAACAATGCTATACTCCGGATTAGAATGAAATATTTTGCTTCTTATCCCCAAGAGCATCAGCTTCAGAAAAGAGATCTTAGCCTTTCAAGGTATCATGGTAAATCCCAAATACCCAGGAACAAAATGCTACTCAGTATCCCTTGAAGCAATGAATGATGGCAGAGGAAAATAGGCAAGAACTAAGTTGGCAAGTCCACAGAGAATGAAAAGTTGGTTAAAATCTGGTGTTGAACTACTCACATCAATTTTTTTTTAAATAATTCTGAAAAAAAAAAGGTAGGATCTGACCATCAACAGGGTGGTTGATTTAGTAAGGAGTTGAACAATACTCACAAAACAAATGCTAGTGAATTTCAGTACTGCTATTGCCAACATTTCTCACACTGGTGTAGTTTCTCACACTTATTCAGAAAAAATAATTCAAACACTCAAACCCCCTTTCTTCTGGAGTATACCCTACCTATTTACATAAAGCCAGAAGTTTCCACACACTGACATAAATATTTTCCTTGCAATTTTAGAATTCTGCATCAGGCATTTCTTCTCTTTAACATTTTAAGAATTTAGCGAAGTCTTCCTTCTTCCTCAAGTTCTCTAGGACCAAGTTACTTAATTAAAACAATCCATCATATGAAGGTCAGTCACCCCCCCCACCCTACACACACACACACACACACACACACACACACACACACACACACACTCAAAACTGTACTTCAGAAAAAGCATGCCTAGAAAATGATTACAAATGCCCTCTCTCTCTCCCACAAGATACAATGAATCTGACAAGGTAAAGACCTTCCTCCTAAGTTTTACTTTTAAAACTCTCCAGCTCAAGTGTCAGTTGGTCTATCTTGACTTACTATACCTGTTACTGGGGCGACATGAGCCAGTAGGTCCAGTTTTGTCCAAGGAATACATTTTAATTGTTTGCCGTGAGCTAGCTGAATAAGGCATGACATCCAGAGTTAGGCCCTCATCGACTGAACCCCACTCAACGAAATGTCCACCCCCCCCCCCCCGCCCCACAAAAAGAAAAAAGAAAGTTTCGGAACAGGATACTTTAGCTGTGGCTAAAGCTGACAGTAAAAAGCAAGGTTGCGTGGCTGGCTACTCCGCCTTCCTGAGGGGCTTCCATGGCTGAGACACGGGAAGGGTCCAACACCCCCCCCCGCACCCCCCACCCCCGGCCCTGCATGGCAACTCCTTGAACAAGAGTTTGTAAAGTGCTTAAATGAAAGAGGCCACAAAGACGCGTGGGGGGGGGGGGGATCAGCACCGAGTATTTCGTGGAACCACTGTCACGGCGTCGGGGATGGGCTGACGGCTTAACCCCGCGTACGGAGGGGGGGAGGTGGAGGGGGGCAGTCCGCTCCATCACCCTCAGACCTAAGATGGGTCGTTCTTGAAGCCGCAGTGCAAACACACGCGAAAAGTTACGCACATGCCCCACGCCAGGACTTCGGTAGTCTCCATCCATCCCTGCAGGGCCCGGGGCGCGGAGGCCGAACGGGAAGGAGTGCAGGGAACCGGGCCTACACCCCATCGACGCGGGAAGGTGCCGGGACCGGGCGGTGGCCCAGTCCGTCGCCGACGCCCCAAGGCTCGGTACCGGGCCCGGGCGCTGGGCACGGGGAACGGCCCGGGAGGGAGGCCGCGGCGGGCCCGCGCAGCCCCGTTGCCGGGAAGGCTCGCGCCCCGCGGCCGGCGGCGTGGGGGAGGGGAGGCCGGCCTGCGGCCTGTTGGGGGGGAGTTCAGCCCGGGCCTCGCGTGCGGCTCCCGGCCGGGTCCCCGGCCCCAGGGTCCCGGGCGCCGAGCAGGGACTCACCGGAAAGGCCCGGATCCGCATCTTGGTGTCCTTCCGGCTGCCCGTGCCTTTGCTCAGATTCGACATGGTGCTCGTCCCCTCCCCGGCGGCGGCTGCGGGTCGCACTCCGAGGCGCCGGTGTCACATTGAAGGCGGACGGGCAGGCGAGGGGCGACGCCGGGGGCGGCGGCGGCGCGGCCCCCGGGCTGGGCCGGGGAGCAGGCCGGCCCCTGGGCGGCCGCGGCGGCGGGGCGGCGGCGGCGGCGGCCCGGGCTCCGGCGGCTCGGGCTCGGCTGGGGGCTGCGCTGGCGCGGCGGCTCCGCGGGGGCCCCCTCACGCCCGGCTCGGCTCCCTTTATCGCGCTCCTCCGCGATGGCGGCGGCGGCGGCGACGGACAAACATCTCACTGCGCAGGCCGAACGTCCTCCTCCTCCTCCTTCTCCTCCTCCGCCTCAGCGAGACGAGATCCGGCCCGGAGGGTGGAGGGGGGAGGAGGGAGGGAGGAGAGCCGGAGTGGAGATGGGGGAGGGGGTGGGAGGACGGGAGGGAAGGCGGGCGGCCCCAGCGGGGGGGGGCGCGGGGGGGGGGGGGGGGGGGGGGACGCGCAGATCTCGCGAGAAAAGGACGAGCGCGCCGCTCCGGGCGGGGCGGGGCGAAGCCCGGGAGCGGGAGGGCTCGACGCGAGTGGAGGAAGAGGAGAAGAAGAAGACGGGCGAGTCGAGAAGAGGGCGGAGCCAGGCGGACGGGGAGGCGGGGAGAGGGCGGGGCTGAGAGCGGCAGCCGCGGGAGAAGCCAGCTGGCCTTTTGGAAAGAGGGGCTTCGGAGACCCGGTTCTGGGCAGAGGCGGCTGCTGATTGGTGGAGTCCCAAGGGGGCGGAGGCAAAGAAACCTGGTCACGTGGGCAGCGGGCGGGGGAAGTTCCGGTAGCCAAAGCCAGGTTGTAATAGGCTGCTGCTGGCCGGACCGGGTTGGCGCCCGGAGAGGATTGTCTGGGAACGAGCGTGGGGTGCTAGGTGGGTAGCTGTGTTTTTCTAGGGCATGCGGACGAGGGATGGGTACTTGAGCCGAAGCCAGACACTTAAAGGGAGAGTGTGTGTGAGGGAGTTACCTGCAGCACCGGAAATTAGTGACAAGGTATTCATTACTGCACACCTCTGCTCGCGGGACTGCGGGGCGGCGGGTTTACCCGCAAAGCTGCCTGAAACTGCGCGAGCTCCGCCACTTCTCCCACTCAGGACCCAGGGATCACCAGTTACAACAAGATATACAAACCTGCGTTTTGTGTTCATGGAAGCATTGTCATTTGACCACTCTTTAGGGTAGCCCAGCATTTGCTGAATGATGTCAAGTGGAATCACAAACCTGGCCTTTCATCCGCCAAACAACTCATGCTTTTTTTTTAAAAAAACCATTATCAAGAACACTGTAGATCTTTAAAGCCAACATTGAGTTGTTAGATATTTGGAAGAATTTTGTTGCTGTGGGGGGGAAGGTTGTCACGTTTTCGTGAGGAAAAAAAAAATAGCTTGACTTAGTTTTTGCTTTTTCTTTATCATGAATCATACTTCCTGGTTTGCCTGCTTGTTCAACTAGTGTTGTACTTAACGTTTCTAACTCCTGAAGTGGAAATGTGTGAGTTCCTGCTTGAAGTTGTTGATCTTCCCATTTTGAATAAGCTACTGTTGGGATGACTGTCCACATTTGAAGGTAAGGGTTTTAACACTTTTCAAAATACAAACTTGAGAAGCCAGCCCAGGCAAAAAAGTCTCCAACTAACTACCCAAAAATATTTTTTAAGCTGGAAATGGAGCCGTGGTTCAAGTGGAAGAGCACTACTAGCTTTGAACAAAAGAAGCTCGGGGACATTGCCCAGGCCTTGAGTTCAATCCTCAGGACTGGCACTAAAACAAAAACAAAACTTTGAACAAATAAACTGAAATACGTCTTTTTTTTCCTCAAAGATTAGATTTCCCCTGGATTAATTCTTGATAACTAAATTTGTGAGTGTTGTGCTTGGTTGGTATGGCCCATTGAAAACATATTGTAATGGTGCTCCATTCAGCAGTACATATACTAAAATTAGAACAGCATAAATATTGGCATGGCCCCTGCACAAGGGTGACATGTGAACTTATGAAGCATTCATATTTTTAAAGAGAATACACTCTCACACTGGCTTTTTTAAAAAAATCTAATCAAAACAAAAGCTTAGGGAGAATGTTACTTAAAGCACTATCTGTGGAGACACTAAGCTAAAAATAGGCCACTGAGAATGAGTCAATAAGGTAAAATGGGAGAGGCTCTGACTTCAATTTAAGGTAATATGAATCTTGAATAGGAATTTATACTCTGTATACTAGTTCAGTCTCCATGTCTATAACCATTAGGATATAATGACAGTGGGTTGTTTTTGGTTTTGGTTTTTTTCTATCAGTTACCCTGTACCCTGACCCAATATGGGTCAGTTTTGTTATAAGAATATATGTTCTCAGGCACAGCTCAAATGGTTGACTCAGCTGTACCACTTTACCAGCTGTGTTGTGTTTTTTTCTTGGGAGGGGGGGTGGCAAAGACTTGACCATGCCTAGAGCTTCTCATGGGTAAAATGGAGACAATAAAAATATCGCCTCCCATAACTGTGAAATTCAAATAAGTAAATACATTTTAAAAGCTCTAAGAGCAATACCAGCACAGAGCAGCCACACACGACCTGTTGGCTAGCATTCTGGGCATTAAGGCCAAGGTTGTGCTATCTTCCTTTCTTCAACAAGTAAGTTTCTAAAAGAAACAAATACATCAACTTCATAAAGCAGATCATATCTAAAAGCCAGTCTCCAACTTGGATTTCAAAAACCAATGAAATTTTTTTCAATAAGCTGTAAGTCAATAAGGGTTGACTATTTTGGCCAGAAAGTGAAATGAACAGGACAAGCATCAGACACTATCACGACTATTTTATGAAAGAAAAAAAATATATATATATATATCCTGAAAAATGGAGGAACATTATTTTTTAGTAAGAAATTTTTTTTACATTAATGAATTTAGCCTTATGATAACATTTTCTTTTCACCAAGAACCTAAGAAAACACCAGTGGCAAGTTTTTACAAATGTGCTGTTTCTATTTCACAATATTACCACCCTTTCTTTTGTGAGCCCACATTTTCATATGCTTAGTGATACTTACACAAAATGTTGCTACATTGAAAAGAATCCCTATCAACTGTTACTTTCCTTAGGCTTTTAGCCACCAAGAAATAGGAAAATTCTTCAATAAGAATTTGTCATTAAGAAATCTACTGTGTGTTTATTTACTCATTCATTTATTCAACAAAGATTTATTGAATGGCTAGAATATAGATGAGAGACATTTACTCGCTAGGTTGAATAAAATAATTGAGACCTGCCATCACAATATATAGTCCCTTTTCACATCTTAAAATTTGGAACCCACAGTCCAAGATGGATTTAGCAACAATTTCCTCTACACTTCAGTACAGAAATCAGAGGAAGGCAGTATCCTCAAATGTGTGTGTGTGCCTATATATGCAACACTGTTCTGTGCCAAGTGGTATTCCATAGTAGAATGCAAATAGAAAGTGAACTTTCATAATGGTTGCTTTTCTGCTAACTGCCACCTGACCCAGCAGAGGAAGTCACACTGGAATAGGAATTCACTAGATCCCACATGTCTGACAGTTGGTATTTCTACTCCTGCTGACAGTGTCCTAATGTGGGAAAACAGAGGCCCCTTTCCATTTATCCTTTCTAGCAGGCACAGGCTGACAGGCAGTTCAGTGAACTCACCTTTTTTCTACATCCCAATGTGAAAAATGGCATCATGAAGTGGTGAATGAAAGGGAATATGGCCTCTTCTTTGCCATGAGTTCTTAAGTATTCAAGATACCAAGTCATTGAAATCACTGTTACAGACCTTTGGATTTGATTGTAAAGATACTGGTTATTAAACCAGCTCCCAGACTACCAGTTTAATTAAAGATTTGTTCAACGGTTTTGAATAGACCAAGACTGTGTTAAGGGAAGATTAATTTTTTTCAGACTAGAAGATGAAGATGTAGAGATATTAGTGGCTTTTTAAATAGAAGGGCTGGATGTTCTGTTTTCTTGCTTGTCCTCACTAGGTAACTGGTAAGTTATAGCCACAAGCTGTGGCTTTGTACACATGTAGGGTAGTAGCATGTGAATGTGCATACTGAGATGATGGATAGGCTATTGGGATGGGGGAATAGAGTAGAACATTGACAATCCAACCACAGGCATTAAATAAATATATGGGAACCCTGGGCTTTTTCTCTGTACTTTTTCTGCCTTGTTATTATTTTCCTTATATCATTGAGACAAGGAGCATATGAGACATATCAGTATATGAAACAAGTTACATCTTGGACCAGAGAAGAATCTTCAGTGTCTGATTATATCACAAAAGCCCCTCTGTTTTTCATCACACTGTCATGGGAAATAAAATCATTTCACTGACAGCTGTAGAAACTTCCTAGTTGACTGGACGTGTTCTGTTTATTTCATGTTTACCCAGCAAATTAATACTTTGAAAATAAAACTATGTTCCTAACCTAATAACAGAATATAAATTCACAACAATTACAGGCATTTCATAAATGTAGTTATATTTTGAGGAAATGAATTTCTTTTCATTGATAGTGTGATAGCAGTAACTGTATCAAGCAGCCCCATGTGTTAGTAATATATATCATTTCATTTACAAGTAAAATTTATAAAAAAAATTTGGAAGTCTTTAGCTCTCTCTTTGTGAAGTAATTTAACTGAGTTTGAGACGAAATACCAAAAATATCCAAACAAGTAAATAGTACAAGTTTTTAGGTAAATTTAGTAAATGCCTAAATTGTAATAATACCCATCAACAAATGTAATAAAATAGCATTGACTTTACACTTGTTCAATAAACTATTTTTTCATAAATGTACCTGGTAGAATAAAAATCTTAGTAAGGTAAAGCAGTCCTCATGAAATATAATTACCTTTAAAAGGACAAAAGGCATACAAAAAGGGTCTAGCAATTAAACTAAAATTTAGTTAAGTTTAAAGTCATGCCAGGTGCTGGTGACTCATGCCTATAATCCTGACTACTCAGAAGGCTGAGATTTGAGGTTCAAAGCTAGCCCAGGCAAGCGTGTCTGTCAGGCTCTTATTTCCACTTAATCACACAAAAAAAGCTGGAAGTGGAACTGTGGTTCAAGTGGTAAAGCACTAGACTTGACCAAAAATGCTTAGGGGCGGCGCCCAGGCCCTGAGTTCAAGACCCAGGACTTGACACACAAAAACGTCTTGCTGTCTGGATCCTCTAATTGTATGGATGACAAAACATCCACCTTTAAACATTAAACACACAAATCAGTGTACCCTGACTCTCACTTCATAGTATCATCATTGTTCTTATAGTGTGCTATTTCTCTCCAAAACAAAACTTGTAAATTTTGAGTTTACATAGGAAACATAATTCAAAACATTATTTCTGCTCTTACTTCTGCTCTTACATTGCTTCTCAGCTATGCTGATGAAATTTTTGTGTTGTAAAACAAGGCAGTAAACCTAGACCTTACCTCAATATAACAATAGAAAAGTAACAAATTTCACACTCATTTTAACTATATGGCAAATTAATTCCTTAAGAAATTACTGAAAAGGGGGCTGGGAAGGTGGCTCAGTGGTAGAGTGCTTGACTTGCATGCATGAGGCCCCAGGTTCAATTCCTCAGCACCACATAAGCAGAAAAAGCCGGAAGTGGGGCTGACACTCAAGTGGTAGAGCGTTAGCCTTGAGCTGAAGAGCTGAGGGACAGCGCCCAGGCCCAGAGTTCAGGCCCCACAACCAGACCTCAAAAAAAAAAAAAAAAAAAAAATTACTGAAAAGAATGATGCTAATTTATCTGAAATATTTTCATCCTGTGAAGAAGGCAATTCTTCTGTAATTGTGTTCAGATTTTAGATGTCATAGAATGATCCCTGTGGTTCCACTTTTATCAACTTTCTTCTAGTTGTTTTGGATAAGTTCGTACTACTACCATGTAATATTACATTAGCCAGTGCTATGCAGTAATGAGTCACCATGGTCAGGGATAGAGGATTAAAAACTAATTAAATATAATCAATTATAATAAATATAAATGTTCGTTGTAGTAGACTATCAAACTCTATATCAATAGCTAAACATTTTTGAACTGATAGAATATTGGCAATTATTGCATTGTAATAGCAAAGCATTATAGTAGATGAGCAATTATAGATAACTGCTAACTATTAAAGCTGTCCATTAAAAATACAATGTATCTGAATCAGCTACATTGCCTTTCACTGCAGGTAACAGAAAACCAAACTACAACTGACATAAGCAATAATCAGGTCTATTGTTTCATGTAACAAGAAGTCCAGAGTTAGGATAGGATCCAGAAATTGTACATCTAGGCTCTGGTCCAACTTTGTAGCAGTTTTCTTGATCTCCTCCTTAAGCTAATGACAGTTGGCTACAGTCATTATAGTTAATCCTTACAGACTCAATATTGTCCAGACCAGAGGAACAGGGTCCACTTTATGATCTAGGAAATTGATCCTAGAGGAGCTCCTAGGAAGCACTGTCATGGCTCATTGGCCAACACTACATGCCCAATTTATCTCATTCAGTGGCAAGTACTTATAGGTATGGCTAATAGCAGTCATTGGGGAACAATCTCTTGATATGAAGCATATTTATCTATGTTAAAAGAGATTCTAATGGAAACAACTGAGTTGAAGGAGTATAAGGGGGGGGGGGGCGAATAGCTAGCTAATGAAAGGAAGTTTAGTTCCCAAACTTTACTGAAAGATAACTCTCACCACAGATGATAAGACCAAAACAAGAGAAAAAAAGTACATCACATCCAGTAACAGAGGAGAAGAGCTAGGTCAGGAAATGATGCCATGGGCATGCATGTTTATACAGACACTTTGGTTGCTTATTTCAAAAATAAAGTTAAGGTTTCTCTTTTAGTGCTACTTTGAGAATTTTATTCCCTGTTATCTTCATGTACCCCATAGATTAGAGTAGCAATAGGAAAATGAGAATGAAATTGCTACCTATATACTCTCATTTGACCTGTGGCAATAAGACCTCTTTGGG